GGGGGCGCGGCAGATACTGGTAGGAGAGCACGAGCGTCGCGTAAAAGTCCATCAGGCGGCACGCCACGCTGCGCCCGCGCGATTTGCGCAGCAGCGGGCCCAGCAGGTAGTAGATGCCGTTCTGGCTGCGCGCGACGCGGTCCATCGCCTGCACGCTCATCGGGTGCGCCTCCTCGTGCGCCATGGCGAGCAGGTGCGCAATCAGCACGTCGGTCGAGCAAGAGGCGATCGTGTACAGCGCCGCAATCGTCCAGCAGCTCCCGCTCACGCCCGACGCCCACGTCGTGCACTGCCAGAGGCCCGTGTTCTCCGCCTCCTTGATGAAGCCCGCGTACGCATACATCGCGCGATAGCCGCCGCCCGAGCCGCCGATCGCGATGAGCGGCACGTCGTCGGGGTGCACGTACGTGCCCTCGGGCAGCCGCAGAAAGTGCGCGAGCGCATTGTTGCCCTCGGACGAGATGCGCCGCCGCCGCTGCGCTATGAACGCGACCTCGTCATCGTGCAGCTCCGGCGAACAGCGCACCTTGGCGTCCCACTCGAGCTCAGGATAGGTCGCCGTGTCCTGAGTGTCCTGGTCGACCTGCGCGGCGAGCTGCGACAGGTCCGACCACCGCCACCGCCATCGCTGCAGCCGCGGCAGCGCCGTGAGCCGCGGCGGCGGCGGCAGATTGAGTGGTAGCTGGGGGGTGGGAAGAGATAGGGGAAGCGCCGCTCCTGCCACCACGGCGTAGACGGCGCCTCCGCCTCGGCCGCCGTGGCTCCAGGTGCCGCATCGGATTCGGCTGCGCCATCGCCACGCCGCGTCGCGTTGGCGAGCAACTGCTGCATCCGGCCCCACGACGTCGCGCCGTGCCCGCCCTCGGTCGACTCATACCACACCCAGTGCCCACCCGGTCGCAGCCGCGACGAGATGGGGCGCGCCGCAAACAGCGTCACGAGCGTACAGATCAAGTAGCACTTGATGTACAAGTACGCCGGTGACGATCGGATCCGGTGCAGCCAGGCCATCGTGCGTCGGCGCGAAGGCCACGGCGCATTAGGCGCACGCCCACGTGCAGGCACAGTGGAGGCTTACCAACCGAGTGCGCCGGGGTGCCACGGCAGGTCCTCCTCCGTGTCCTCCACACGCGTCTGCGCGTCGATCTCGGCGAGCAACACGTGCAGCAGCGCACGCGTCGCCTCGTACAGCTGCGGCGACATGCCGGGCACGGGCGCGTAGGTCAGCACGCTCACCACGTCGCTCGTCGGGTACGGCGGGAGCGTTGACGCTCGCGTCGACCCCGCGTCCGTCTCGCGCGCCTCCTCCTCGTCCTTGGCCTCCTCCGCCGCATCGGACGCGTTGCGCGCGAGCGCCTTCTGTGTGCGCTCACGGATCGTCACAGCGTGCTCACCAAATTGCTTTTCGAGCGCCGCTTGTGTCTCGGGCACACCGCGTGTATAGGTAGTCAGAATGGTGTTTTGCGCGGCGCGCACATCACTAGTCGCCGCCTCGATGGCCTCGCCCATCTTGCTCTGCTGCTCCTGCATCGCTTTTTCGCGGGCAAACGACGTGCGAATCTCGTTGGTGATGTAGGTGCGGCAGAACTGGCACTGTGCATACGAAGCCTCCATGTGCGCGTACATAGTCATCTCGTCCATCGCGCCGACCCGACGCCGGCCGGGCAACTTGGAGAGGTCCACCAGCTCAAACGTGGGCGCACGGTGCACCATCTTTTGGCGTATGCGTGCCCGCGCGACACATGTGTGAAACTCACCAAGACTCGACTTGCAGCTCAGCAGGCGTGGCATGCTCTGGTCGGCAAACGCCAGCGCCGAGCCAGAAAAGAGCTTCTGGTGGTGCTTGTTGTTCTGCGGCACCCCCATTTTCATGCCGAGCTGCAGGATCGTGCGGATGAGCTTTAAGCAGTCCTCCACATGCTTGTCCGCGAACTTGAGCGCCTGGCGCGCACGCCGCTCACGGTCGATCTCGGTGGGAATCAGCCGGTGCAAGGCCGACTGCAACTCGACTTCCCATCGCAGCGTCTCGAGCACCGGGAATGCGCTCACGGTCTCGGGCGGGAAGATGCGCGCACCAAGCATCTGCAGTTGCGTACGTAGCGCATCGTAGCGCGCGCGCGCACTCACGAGGGCATCGCGTGTGCGCTCCAGCTCCGCCTGGCGCGCAACGTCGGCGTCCACCTTGGCTTGTGCCGCGTCGCGCGCCTGTATCGCGGCAGTCAACTCGGCCTTGAGGTCTAGCATGTTCCGCGAGCGGCGCTGCAGTGCAGGCACAAGGCGCACGAGCACCGCCTTGGCCGACTTGTCGTACGCGGCTTGCCGCTTTGCTCTGCGTCAGTGGAGGTGAACGCACGCTGCATCCTGGGCACGCTTCAGCACGACCGACGCAGTCTCGATCGAGCCCGAAATTTTCCATAGATCACGCTTGTTCGTCTCCTGTTGTGTGGGCACGTCGCCCAGGCTGACGAGCTCGGCTGCATCAGTGGCTGCACCTACCGTACAGACGGGTATACTGTGTAAGTGTTGTAGACGCACCTCGTCTCCGCTCTCTTGGAACTGTGGGAAATACGACGGCGGTGACGTCCAGGCGGGCTCGCGCGCGAGCACCACGCTTGGGTCGTGTGGCGCGCCTCCATTCGCCGACTGCATTGTCTTGGCTGTCATCCCGCTCGGACTGCGCGGGGAAGAGTGGAGGTGTCTTTGTACATCGGCCATGGAGGGCGCCGAGGCAAATGACAACGCCGCGCGCCCGGCGGCCTCCGCCGAGGCGATCGATGGTGGCACGGGGTACAAGTACCAGCAGGAGATTGCACAGATGGTATGCCCCGTACACTCACCTAGATGTTCGTCTCGACCGAAGTCGAGAATCCAGACCCACAAGTCACCCGGCTGATCGAAGATATCGTGCGCAACCAGGTGATCGAGATGGTGCGTGTGCGCGCCACTGACGCAGATCATCCAATCGCGTTGGCTTGCGATGCGCCGCTCGTCTAAATACCTCATGCCAGAGGACCTAATTTTCCTGATCCGGTACGATCGCGCCAAGGTCAATCGGCTGCGTACGTACCTGAGCTGGAAGGACGTGCGCAAGAACGCCAAGGACTCGGGCGGCGACGGTGGCGCAGGGCCGGCCGCGGGAGGGGATGCTGGCGAGGGCATCGAGGACACCGCCGTCGACGGGCCCCTCCGCAACAACAAGCGCAAACTCAAGCTCCCCTGGGAGCTCTCTGCCCTCTTTTTTGAATACCCGCTCGTCGCAAACCCAAACCCAGGCATGGGCGAAGAGGCTGAAGACGAGGACGAAGATACCATCGAAACCAACGAGGACAGCCTGCGCCGCCTCAAGGCCGCCGACGAGACGACGCGGCGTATGACGCGCGAGGAGTACGTCTTCTACTCCGAGTGCCGGCAGGCTTCGTTCACTTTCCGCAAGGGTATGTGGTGCGACTCACTCAGCGAAACGCTTCCGCGAATTTATTAACTCGAGTCATTACCTGGACGTCAAGCCGAGCGACGACACGATCGATATTCTGGGGTTCCTGGCCTTTGAGGTGGTCCACGAACTGTGCACGTCGGCGATGCGCATCAAGCGCGAATGGGAGGAACGGGCGCAGGGGGTGCAGGCACGTACACAGCGCACGTTTGAGCACACCGATGCAAAAGAAGACGGCGCCCCCGACGAACACGCCGAAGAGGCAGCATGCACCCTGTTCAGTCTCCCACCCAGCGCTGAGCCACCGCTCGAGGCCTGGCACATCCGCGAGGCGTTTGCGCAGCTTCAGCGCGACCGCCGCCTGCTTGAGACGGGACGCAGGACGGCAGGACCGACAGGCGGCTTGCGTCGTACACAGGTATTTGTCATCTAGCTACAATGCATCGTAACGCTGCTGGGTGCTGGCCTTGGCATGCTCTTGGTACGACCGACGTTCGCTCGGCTCCACCAAGGCGCCGCTGCCCAGTCCGGCACGCTGGGCACCCACGCGGGGGGCAATGGGGGCTTTTTGGGGTATATGCTCGGCACCATCCGCCATCTTGGCCAGTAGTTGGTAGCCAACGTTGGAGGCATCGAGCGGTGCTGGCTCTGCCGAGACAAGCGGCTCCGTCCGCAGCTCCGAAGGCCCGACACGGGGTGCAGGGTGGGGCGCATCGGGGTGTAGACCCCGACGCGCAGAGGCACGGTCGCGGTACAGCGGCCGCTCATCCACCGACGCAGGGCCGGGCGCAACAGGCTTTAGATAGACCTTCTTGAGCTCCCGCAGGTGTTGCTTCGTCTCGTGGTGCGCCTTGCGCTTCTCACTTTGTGTCTTGCGCGCCTGGTGCGGGCCTTTCAGCGCTTTCGTCGGTGCATCCTGCGCATTCGTACGTGCCTGCGGTGCGAGCGAAATTTCGTTCGCGCCGTCGGGAGACAGTTGGCACGCGGAGCAGCTCGCCCATGCATTGCCGTGCATATGGACCTCGAATATGTTGCTCTGTACACCAAAACGGATCACATCAAGATGCTGCAGATCAAATGGACGGCTCGCGTGCTTCTCCGGAGAGAGCCGGAAAAACAGCTCCTCCGGAATTTGGTGAACTCGGCTGCGGGACATCGGCGCTGGGTTTGGCGAGTCGGGCCGGTAGACAAACGTCCCATGTGTAGAGCCAGTGTCCGTTAAAGACACATTTGGCGGCATATCAAACTGTTTCTTGCGGTATATGGCGAAGATGCGCGCATGGTGCTTGCTAACCTCCATAGACGGCAGTCGGAGACGCGGGGTATACGAGCGATCGCGGCCCTAAGATGAGCGCTACACGTACCACAGAAACGCCCTCGTGACGTCCGTCTACCAGTGCTACCTGCTTGGCGGACGGTAGCACATCGGACGCGAGCTTCACGAGGCGCACGAGCGCGTCGTCCGAGGTATCGAGCATACCGCTGCAGCCGCCAGCGCACGCTCCACAAGCGAACAAGGGGCAGGATGGGCATATGTATAGACGAATGCAAGTTCGTTACAACACAAGACAAGGTGCCGGAGCGGTTAACGGGTACGCCTCGAATTCAGTTCGACACCGGTTGCGGTGGTTAGCGTATGGGCTCTGCCCGCACAGGTTCGAATCCTGTTCTTGTCGCTTCTTTTTTGTTATTTTTTGCTTGAGTATATGAGATATGCAATTATTTTTAATTCTTCGCGGCATTGTACCTTACTTACCTTCTGACAAAATGGCCCTGCGAGCAGTGCGCGGACTGCGGTCTGCTATGCCGACGCGCCGTCTGAGTGTGCCTGTTGTACAGGTGACGCGTGCGAGCTCGACGTTTGCGACGCGCCGCCCCGCCGTGCGAAGCGCGCGCGTGTGTGCCTGGATGGGTGCATCCCACACTCGCTTGCTCGCGACCGAGGCGGATAGTGCGACGGGCAATGTGACGCCTGTCGTGAGTGAGGCCGACATCGCGCGGCTGCTGCGCCAGCGCAATGTGGGTATCAGCGCACACATCGACAGCGGGAAGACCACGCTGACCGAGCGTGTGCTGTACTACACGGGCCGCATCAAGGACATCCACGAAGTGCGTGGGCGCGACGAGGTCGGTGCCAAGATGGACAGCATGGACCTCGAGCGTGAAAAGGGTATTACCATCCAGTCTGCAGCTACCTACTGTAACTGGAAGGCGACACCTCCGACCGAGACGAGCAACGTTACCGGCGACGCGGCGCTCGACACCGAGTCGACCAGCAAGAAAGAAGACTTCCACATCAACATCATTGACACGCCCGGCCACGTCGACTTCACCATCGAGGTCGAGCGTGCTCTGCGTGTCCTGGACGGTGCTGTGCTTGTGCTTTGTGCCGTCTCGGGTGTGCAGTCGCAGACCATCACGGTGGATCGCCAGATGCGCCGCTACAATGTGCCGCGCCTGAGTTTCATTAACAAGATGGATCGCGCCGGTGCGAACCCGTGGCGTGTCGTGGAGCAAATCCGCACCAAGCTGCGCATGCCGGCCGCGGCACTTCAGGTGCCCATAGCGTCCGAGGAGAGCCTCGACGGTCTCGTGGACCTGGTGCGCTGGAAGGCCGTGTACAACGAGGGCACCAAGGGTAACGTCGTGCGCGAGACCGACGAGATCCCTGCTGAGGTGCTGGAGCTCGCCAAGGAGAAGCGTACTGAGTTGATCGAGCAGCTCGCAGATGTGGACGACGAGATGGCCGAGATCTTCATCGAGGAGCGCGAGCCTACTATTGCCGAGCTGGCGGCCGCCATCCGCCGTGCGACGGTGGCGTGCCGTTTCTCGCCCGTGTTCATGGGGACGGCCATCAAGAACAAGGGTGTGCAGGCGCTGCTGGATGGTATGTGTGCCTACCTGCCGAACCCTATGGAGGCGCCTGCGATCGCCAACGACACGCGGCGTGCCAAGCAGATTGCGCAGCAGGCTACTGAGGAGGGCCAGGCCAACGACGAGATTGTGTCGTCCGCCCAGGCCGGCTCCGAGGTGCAGCTGGTGCCCGCCAGCGACGCGCCCCTGGTGGGTCTGGCGTTCAAGCTGGAAGAGAGCCGCTTCGGCCAGCTCACCTACATGCGTGTGTACCAGGGCCAGCTACGTCGGGGTGGTGTGATTTTCAACTCGCGTACCGGCAAGAAGGTCAAGGTGCCGCGTCTGGTCCGCATGCACTCGAACGACATGGAGGACGTCAATGAGATCGGGCCCGGCGAGATCTGCGCCATGTTCGGTGTGGAGTGCTCGTCCGGCGACACCTTCACGGACGGCAGCACGTCGCTGTCCATGTCGGCCATGTTTGTGCCCGACCCGGTCATTTCGCTGTCCCTTGCTCCCGAGGGCAAAGACGGCTCGCAGAACTTCTCGCGTGCGCTGAACCGCTTCCAGAAGGAGGACCCTACGTTCCGTGTCCACGTCGACAGTGAGTCGGGCGAGACGATCATCTCGGGCATGGGTGAGCTGCACCTGGAGATTTATGTGGAGCGCATGCGCCGTGAATACAATGTGCCGTGCAAGACGGGCAAGCCGCGTGTCGCCTTCCGTGAGACGATCGGCCAGCCTGCCAAGTTCAACTACACCCACAAGAAGCAGACGGGTGGTGCCGGTCAGTTTGGTCGTGTGATTGGCTACATCGAGCCGATGCGGATGGACGAGGAGACGGGCAAGGACACAGCGTTTGAGAACAGCGTTGTGGGTGGCAATATCCCCTCGGGCTACATCCCTGCCTGTGAAAAGGGCTTCTACGATGCGCTCGAGAAGGGCTCGCTTGCGGGGTACCCCGTGTGCGGTGTCCGTTTCGTGCTGGAGGATGGTGCGGCGCACAGCGTCGACTCGTCCGAACTGGCATTCCGTATCGCCACGGTCGCGGCCTTCCGCGAGGCGTTCAACAATGCGCAGCCCATGATCCTCGAGCCCAAGATGACCGTCGAGGTGGTGGCCCCGGTGGAGTTCCAGGGTGCGGTCATTGGCGCGCTCAACCAGCGCAAGGGCACTATCGAGGACACCGAGGTCCGCGAGGACGAGTTCACGATCCGTGCCGAGGTCAGCTTGAACGACATGTTTGGCTATTCGAGCCAGCGTACGTATATTCTCGCTCACCACAGTCCGCGGCCTCACGCAGGGCAAGGGCGAGTTCTCTATGGAGTACAAGAAGCACGAGCCTGTCATGCCCAACATCCAGGCGGAGATGCAGAGTGGTGTGTACCTCCTTCCTTGCTGACGCAGCCTATCGCAAGAGCCAAGAAAAGAAGTAGCCGGAATAGCACCACTTATGAAACGGACTCCATACGATGCTTGCGAAATGGCATGCATGCCGACGTGACATAAGCTTGCTTGTGTGTCTCGGCACTAGCACATGGCCATACTGCCCTGGAGCGGCCATCGTCTGTCTCGGCTAACCAAAAATACAATCTGTCAAATTGGGACTATTTGGCCCAAATCTTTCAGGTGGAGGAAGGGTGTGCACGGACCACATCCTCACGCTTGCAGCAGCAGGGACGGTACCGCCATATCGCTGCTCGATTCGTCGAAATAGGGGTCAAACTCGGCCTTGTTGAACTGTGCCGGAGCGGGCGATGCATGTGACGACCCCGCCGCACCTGCTATCGACCCGAGCACCGCAAAGCGCTCGGCCAAGGTAGGGTAGGACTGGAAATAGGCGTTGTATAGTGGGTCGGCAAAGAGCGGCGCATCGGCCGCCAGGTACAGCTTGAGCAGTGCATTCTCAAAGCACACTTTCAGGTCCGCACCTGTCGCGAAACTCGATGCCTCGTAGTCGACCCAGTCATTCACCAACTCATCCTCCACAACCATCTGTGCACACCGCACAGCGAAGCGACTGGGGGTCAGCAAGTCCATACGTACCGATCCTTTGCACACACGGAGCGTCGCGACAGAAAGTTGATCTGCAGCGTTGCGGCCACCAGCAGCGGCCGCAAGAGGAGCGCCGCCAGCGCACTGCCAACAACGAGCGGCGGCGTATCGATCACGGCCGGCATGCCCTGCCCCGCTGCGCCAAATCCAAATGCACGCAGGAACAGAGGGTTGCGGTTGACCAGCTGCACAAAAAGCACCGTAAAGACGAGATTAAATGCGAAGACGGTGCGCTGGGCGAACATCGACACCTTGGTGCTGCACTCGTACGTGCGGAGCGCCTCGGCCTCCTCCCTGGTCAGCTGGAGGAGCTCCTCGGGGTGCATATAGCCCTTTTCGTCACTGTCGGCGGGCGATGCGGCAGTCGACGCCTCGATCGGCGCGATGCATTGCGTTGAAGGCATTGAAGGCATGAGCGGCACGTTGATAAAGAAGACCACCATCGGGATCACGCATGCGGCAGCCGTATCGGCCACTGCGACTGCACCTGACTGCAGTGGCCATGCGCCGAGCTGCGTCGTGCTAGCGACATGCACTGCGCCCAGCACGAAGATCGCCGCTACTGTCGCGCGATCGAGGAAGAAGGCGGCAAGCGACGGCCGCCTCGCGAGGCCGACGCGCCAACACTCTTCGATGTACATGGGTGTGCGCGTCACCGAGCGTAGGAGCTGGAGCAGCGCGAGCCACACGAGGCTCTGCAGGAAGGCGGCATGTGGCTGATCCAGGCGGACCAGGCACCCTGCCCAGTTCCATGCGATTGGCAGGAGACCGAACTGCACAGAGCACACGATGGTGTTGAGCACGATGTTGGCGCGCCCCATCTGGGCTGTAAAGGTGCGCTGGAAGCGCTGGGCGCTGAACCGGAACTCGTCTGGGGTAACGCTGGACGTGAGTACGACAGGAACGGCCTTGGACCGGCTCAAACGCCGCTGCCGTACAAGCAGGACGACCTTCATGATCCAGTCCAGTCCTGCTATCAGCACGACCAAGGTGGCCCACGACGCGGCATCGCGCCCCTGCATCGCCTCGCTCCACGGCATGATAGCTCCGAGAGGGCCTTTGGGCCCCGCTGGGTGCTCTTACATAATAATAGGCTACCGTACTGCCTACTGCCTAATGCGTCTTTTTGGTGGAGGCCACCCGGTCGAGCGCCACGAGCCGCTCGGTGAGCGTGGGGTGAGAATGGTGGTAGGCGCTGTACAGAGAATCGTGGTACATAGACGAAAGACTGTGTGAGCATGTGCGCAACGTACTTGTGTATGTGCAGCTTGACGAGCGAGCGCTTGAGGAGCTCTGTGTACGGCTCTTGCTCCTCGGGCAGCGCATCCCCAATCGTCTCAGAGGGCAGGCGGTGCGCAGGCACCTCGCTCAGGCGGTCGACCCAGTCGACCACCGTCGCGCTTGGCTGTACATCGTCGCTGTCACCGCCCTTGGCCTCAATCAGACGCATCGCCTCGATCTCGGCAGCCGTTCTGGGCGCGCGCGGAAGCTCGGCGGCAAAGCTGGGTTAGGCACTTGCCCACGTACCGGTCAGCGGCGTACTCCATACGGCGCACAGCCGCATTGATACCGAAGCGGAGCACCGCGTCAGTGGGGTTCAGAACCAACTGGAACAGCTCCAGGCCGACCATCACGGGCAGGTACGGCTCCACGACCAGCGCGCCAGGCGCCACGCGCTGCACAAAGCCAAACGCACGGTACAGCGAGGCGTTGTGGATGAACAGCGTGAAGAGCGAGAGCATGAGCACGAGGTTGAGCTGCGACATAA